CAAAAAAAAAATATAACGGAGCTATACCCTTACATTTGTATAGCTCTTCGAATTATACTGACAATTCCAGTCACTGTTGCAACAGGGGAGAGCTCTTTCTCCAAGCTGAAATTGATTGAGACATATTTAAAGACCACCATGTTGCAATAGCAATTCAATGGGCTAGCATTACTAAGAATTGAGTATGAGATAAGCTCTTGTCTAAAGTACGAGGAAATCATAAGAGAGTTTGCAATAATTAAGGTCAAAAAGATTGCATTGTAAAATTGGAAGAATATGTCAAATTGTAAAAGTTTTTTTTGAAATACAGTTTACTAAAGGTGTTTTTAAATGATTTCCTACATTAAAATAATCACATTAAAATAACATACATTAAAATCGGTATAAAAGTTGTGGTTGGAGGCCCCACAAAAAAGTCTGCCTGGGACTCAAAAATAGGTCTGCACGGCACTGGTCCCAAAAAATGCAATATCAACCTGGGTTAAAAACAAAAACAAATTGTTATCCTCGCTAGAAAAAAATGGCATAAATCTAAATGGAACAAACTTTGTAGTGGTAATTTTGAAAATGTAGACAAGACCATATTCATGCGGTTCGTTGCAAAAAAAAAAATTATTTCTGTATATGTTTGTATTTATTTATTTGTATTTATTTGTATATGTTGTATTTGTATTTAATTATTTGTATTTATTTGTATATGTTTGTATTTATTACCTGAAATTGCAATATAGTTTTTGCAAAATATCTTTGTAATTGTAAAAATAATTTGCTTTCTTATTATATCTTTAGTTTGTTTTATATATTTTTTCTTTTAGTACTTTTTAATGAATTTTTATAACTCTTTTTGAATATTTTATAATTTGAAATATCAATATTTTATTATATTAAGGGGCTTTATGAAAAGATTAAGGTGATAATGCATCATCCATATCTTCTTTGAGCCCTTGTCTGTTTTTAAAATATTTTATTTATCGATATTTACCATGTAAAACTCATCTGTAATTTATTTTAACAGCAAAATATAAAATGAAACAAAAAATAAAAAAAATAAAAAATGAATATAAAACTAGAATATATTACTAGATTAGTAACTACTACTAAATTTAAATTAAAAAGATTTTTTTTGGATTAAATAAATCACACAAAAAATATCTTGAAACTATATGACAACATTTTTGATAAGCTGGCTCGTTAGGAATATGCATCAGCAGCTTTTCTAATTCTAAGTTCTTTTTTACTCACAGTAAAAAAGAACTTAGAATTAGAAAAGCTGCAATGTAGAGCAAATTTAAATATGCCATATGCATCAGCAGCTTTTCTAATTCTAAGTTCTTTTTTACTCACAGTTAAAACTGCTCTTTTTTGCTCACAGTAAAATTATCAAATTGTAAACAGCATTACAAAATGGTACAAAATATAGTCAGTTATATAAATAACTTTTGTTCCGATATGCCCAAAAAGTCATTTTACTGAAATTAATACTATTCAATAAGTTCAATTCTCGATATTTTTTTAAAACCAGATTCTAAAAGAAGATTAAAAAATTCTGTCTGAAAAATATAAACTTTTAATAAAGCAAATTAGCAATAGTTCAAGATAATGCATTTTGTTACTTGTATTGCATTTTGGTATTTCTAAAAAACTCAATAAATTTTGACAAACATTGTAAATAAACATGTTAGAATAATGGTTAAAGAATTCAAATTTGTTAATGAATATATTTTTCATTTGCAGTTTTAATGCGTATTATGTGCGCATGCGTGTTTAAGCTAACGTTACGTTTAACTACACGCCTAAAAAAATAAGTCAAAATTTTAGAATATTTCAGCCAGACAAACTATTTTTTTAAATTACTCTATTGGATATTTGTATAAAAATGGTCTTTAAAGAATGTTGATACATATGAAAAATATCCGAAAATAAAACAGTATTTTCACTATTTTTCAACAAGTTAAATATTCAAACTTTCAATTTTGAAATTAAACAAAATCGTATAACTTTGTGCTTTGTGCTGCTATATTTTTTTTATATTGCTTTTAATTAGCGTAAAAAGCAAAATAAAGCTGGAAATACTGTAAAATCATGTGGGACTTTTTATTACAGTTAACTTTAAACAAAATTTTTATAAAAAAAAATTCAATTTTTTATGTTATTATTAGTTTTGGCTTCATATATACAAATAAAAAAAATATTTTGTATAATTTTATAAAGTTTTTCTTTTATTATATATAAAAGGATCTCCAAACATTGATAGTTTTAGAGAAAACAATTTTTATTTTCTTACCTCAACATCTTTTTAAAATGTAAACAAAAATGTTTCAAAATTCACGGAATTTTCCCTTTATGCACACTGAAAGCCTTACTTAATTAACCCTTAATTTAATTTACTATATATATCATATATAAGTTTAATTTTATTTTATATTTAAATTACTATCATAATACCCTAATACATATGTCATGTCTATTAAAATCTTTTAAAACCATTGTTTTAGATAATTTTTAATCTGTATTCTTGCGAATCAAAATTCTCATAAACATATAAACTTTCTTAAAATACTTCTAAAAAAATCATTGAATATAGAATGATCTAAAACCGAATGGAATAAGAATAAACCAAAAAATTTTTTGAAGACAATATTTTAAAAAGTGTTTGTACTCAGTTAAAGTCGTAAAAAAAGTTTTTTTTTTAAAAAAAAAGTGGGGCTCGGCCCCGGGTGCCCCGGCCTCATTGATCCTGTGGTTATCTGCCCTGAAAAAAATTTTAACACACGTTTATCGAGACTACACAAATGCTGAAATTTTTAGAGCTCCAGTTTGTCTAGAAAGTAGTGAAAAATCTTTTACAAGATTCCGTTACAAAAGTGGGGCACATGATCCGATCCTCCCTGGTACTTGGGCCCTGGAAATAACTTTAACATGCACGTCCATCAGCACTACCAAAATGCTAAAGGTTTCAGAGCTCCAGCTAGTTAGGAAGGTTGTAAAAAATCAATTGCAACATTCAGCTATAAAATTTGGGGACTGTGCCCCGTTATTCATAAATGAAAGTCCATGTACTTGCAGATCTGAAATAATGTGTAAAACTTTTTTTTTTTTTGATATCATCGAGACCACATTGGTTACTTGAGTATCAAAATCAGGTATATAAAAAATCGCTTAAATTTATTAAAATCGATAGATAGAGGTACTTAATAATTTTTTTTTTATTTTAGATGATTTTTTCTTAATTTTCTGTATTAATAATTTTTAAAATTTTTCAAAACTTCAAAATTTCATAACTTTAGTTAAGCACTTGCTTTTGACTTGAAATTTTCACATTTTATTTATTATAGCTAGGGAGTTCATTTGTGCTATGGATACATAATAATGAAAATAGAAAATAATAGTTTTTTGCAATATATTGATTGTTGATATTTTAGTTCAATCTTTACAAAAATGCAGTTGTATTATTTAGAAGAATAAACTTTTATAAAGCAAGTCACAAATAAAAAATATGATAATTTAGAATCAGTATGCATATTTTTGGTATCAACTGTTACAAACTTTTTTAGTAATCGTGTCATAAATTTTTTAATACAAAACCTCACAAAAAGTATAGATAATCGAGACAAATTTATTAAAAATTTTGTTTTTCTTTTTTATATTATCTGTTTTATAATTAAAGAAAAAAGTTGTATTGATGGAGTGCTTTTGTATGCCAATATTTTATATACAATATTTTATAGGTAAACCAAAAGTAGAATGAATGATAAATTTAAAACGAATAATGAATAAATAAGTTAATAAAATTTTTTTTTTCAATATTCTTAACTAAATTTATATTCATTGATAAATTCTAAATTCATAAAAAAATCTCCTGGCCTTCAGCTTTATTAAATTTGTAACCCCCTCAAATTAAAGGGGTTCAAACTTTAATGTTTATTATTTTTAAGTGGTAAGACATTATCGAATGAACTTTAAAATTTATCAATAAATATATATTGCTAAAATTGTTGGGTTTTTTGATCATCGCAATTTTTTGGAAAACAAAAAATTAAAATTAAAGTCTAAAATTAGTTAAATAACTTTTAAGTTAAACTAACTTTTTAGTTTGGCTAAAGTTCATTGACTAACTTTTTAGTTTACTAAAATGAGTAAACTAACCTTTAAGTTGGACTAAAATTAGCCCACTAACTTTTTAGTTTAACTAAAATTCTAAAAAGTAAAAACAAACAACAAAAAAGATAAAAGAAATTACAAAAGTTAAAAAACAAAATAATAAAGAATAACAAAAAAACTCCTTTTTTATAAAAACATTATTTATTTTTTGTGTTTAAAAAGCTCCACGTTATAAAACGCACAAGAGGCACCATTTCATATCGTTTTATTATTATAATTATTATTTGTGTATGTGTGTGTGTGTCTATATATATATATATATATATATATATATATATATATATATATATATATATATATATATATATATATATATATATATATATATATATATATATATATATATATATATATATATATATATAGAGAGAGAGAGAGAGAGAGAGAGAGAGAGAGATAGACAGATAGATATATAAATAGATAGATAGACAATGAGCTGCATAAGACAAAATGGGGAAAAAATGTTATTTTGATAAAACCGGTACACAACGAGACAAGATTGTATGATTAAAAATATTTTTTGTTTTGTACCGTGTCAAATCAAATATTTGAGAGGATGCAAAAGACGCAGACGCCAACTTCACTTTTGATGGAAATTTGAAGGTCCTCTAGTGCTTGTTATTAACTTTTGAAGAAATAAAATTTAAAATTTCCTTCTTTAAATATTGTTACTGTGTTCAGCTTTGCTTTTTATTTTATTTTGTTTAGTATATATTGATACATTAATTTTAAAGATTGGTTTTTCAGTTTTTCAAATAATTGTATTTCTTCATTTTGTTAGCTTTAGTTTTAACACTAAAGCTAATAGAAAGTTTTAAAAAAATATTGTTTAATTTCAGAACTGGATTCCATGATCATAGCTTTAATAGTGGCAGTTGCTTCTATATTATTAACCGTAGCATCATTAATGTACATGATGGCGTACAGAAAAAATCCTGAAACTTGGAATTGTGGAACGATACTACTGACTCTTTTTACTTTTATAAGTGGTGAGTAGTTTTAAAAGTTTTACTTTCCTGATAAATATTACTTTTTCTTCGCAACTAACAATCCACTTGTTACACTTTTTAATCTTGAGTTTTCATTTTTTTAGCCGCAGCATGCCTTTCAACTCTAATATTTGCCGAGACGCGATTTAAAGAAACTTTTCAAATATACAAACACGGTTGGTCAGTAATACTTGCTTGGCTCGGAGCTATTTTCTTGATTTTGTCTTTTGCGTGTGCAATTGTATTGTTATGCACTAAAACTAAAGAAGTAACTCGTCCAATTGACTACACGCGGAGACCATCTAGTCAAAATGTATTAGATAATTTAGGTTATGTTCATGATGACTAATTCGTACAAGACATGAACACGATGAACATAAGTCAAAATTGTTGACTGCAATGAATAAAACAACTTTAAAACATATATTGGAGTCAAATATGTGCAAAGTTATTTCAATGGTTCAGTGATTTCATATTGCTATTAATATATTATGTTTGTTTGAAACTGTAAAATATGGTAATTTAAAAAAGTCTAAAGGCATCAAATATTTTTTTAGTATAATAACTTGCAAACCACAATCGTAAAATAAAAAAACCCTATTAATGTTGAAGTTAGGTCTTATCCAAGTAAGGTTTCGATTAGTAAAAACTTAATCGTTTGCGTAATATATAATAATAAATGTCCACTCCGGACGTTAAATGGAGATAAACCGTGTCTCTAATTGGTTGGTAAAAAAAAAATGTGTATATATATAATAATAAATAAGAAGTATAAACACTCGTAATCAGCAATGAGAATTACGTTTATATAAATACATAATTAGGTAATCTAATTAATAGAATAAATTGCACATTCTAGAGTGATGATGCTCTTTAGTGAGCTGAACTTGTCTTTGCGGACCCTGTTTTGCGGCCTCTATATATGGCAATCAGTCGGAGGAAGGTAAACTACTAATAGTAAATATATATTTCTAATATATTATATATTTTTTTCAACAAACATTATTGTATAATTCAATAAAAAGTGTTTACAATCTCTAATATATATGTGAACAAAATCGCTCAAAAAAGTTATTACACTACATATATTGACAATAAGTGAAAGTTAAAAATACTGTTAGCGCGTGCTTGCTAGACAGTGGGTTGAAATAATGAACATAAAAGTTCGTGGTTTATAAAATAAAATGCTGGCTATTAACCCATGCATATTAAAAATATATGCAAGTTTTTCGTACCACTGGGCTTCTTGGGACTTGCTCGTGGTTGTCGTTAAAAGAAAATATACATATATATGATAAATTTAGTAAGATTATGTAGATGAAGGAAACTCGCAGAAAACTAGGAGAAATCTTATCATCGATAACCTTTAAAATATAGTCAAAACTAAAAAAAAACTTTAAAAGGAGATTTTATAAAACACAATTAAATTACTTGGCGACAGCATTTAGTTTTAAATAAGGTGTATTTTGTTTTTACAGTGTTTTTTTATTATCTCCCTTAAATTTTTGAATTTGCATGCAACAAAATAATTTTTTTGATTTTCTTTTGTTTTTTGGAAATAGATTTTTATTTTGCTTTTACTTAGATAAGTTACCTTCGCTTCTATTCTTCAGGTATTTTATGTATAGTTTTTGTTTTTGTTTTGATGATTTTGTGATGATTTTCTTAATCCTCTGGTAATCCATGGAGTGGTCAAGTATTTTACAATACCCATAATCATTTACGTTAGTCGTTTTAACTAATTAAATCCGTTTAAAATTTTTAAACGTAAAACTATGATAACAACGTTAAAATTTTAAACGTAACTTCACAAATAAAAGAACTATATGTTTAGTGAGGTTTTCCATTTCTCTACGAATTATTATTTTTACAACAAAATATTATTATTTATGATTAAAAAATCACTGCCAGCCTTTATTTATGAGTTATAATATCCCTTTTTAGATGTTTTCTCTGTAGCGTACGTAATGTGGTATTTGTGTGAAAGTCTTGTACTTTTCTGCTGTTATTAAGTTATAATTTCCTTTCTTTAAATAATAACTTCTCGAATTCTTTTTAAAATATCTTCCTCTTTAAATTTTCCAAACTTTCGATTTTTTGTCCGCACAATGGCTTTCTATAATAAAAACAAAAAATACAAAAAAAAAATATAAAATACAAAAACACAAAAAAATATAAAATTTAAAAAATCAAAAAATAATTAAAAAAAAAAAAAATATATATATATATATATATATATATATATATATATATATATATATATATATATATATATATATATATATATATATATATATATATATATATATATATATATATATATATATATATATATATATATATATATATA